TCAAGTTTGATAAAGAATTGAAATCGTATGAAAAAGATCAAGTCTTTTTCATTTATTTATTATTTTTTTTATATATTGAAATGTCCAATGGGAGAAAAAATTCCATTATCGTACATACCTTTTCGACATACTTCTAGATTTACAATATGTGAACATGTGAAGAAAGTAGTTAAAAAAAGAAGATATGTAAAGAATAAAAATGAAAAGTTGTGCCCTAGAGTCTAAAGATGGTGATGAGCTTATTAGAAGGCATTGCGAAATTTGGATAGATGTTAAAATTTTGAATCGGGATTCAAGACCTGACAAATCATTGGATACCAGAAGAGTCAATCTTAGCATGACGTATTGGAGCCAGAAAGACCAGTCTATTTTTCACAAAGAAAAAATGTTGAAATAAATTAGAATTTCGAAGAGGGGTGAGGAAAAAAAAGAAAAAGAGAGGTCCTGATAAATAGAGCCTAGGTGAAATTGTTTAGAATTTTCAAGCTTGTTAAAAAATTTAATTCGTATAAAAAAAATCTTATCGTCCTTAGTTTGTATCATTTATTTATTTTGTATCTTGACCATTGTATACCAGAAGACCCAATCTTTAAGTGACTCATTGGAACCAGTAAGTACCAAAATCAATTTTTTTCGCAAAAAAAATAAATAAATAAATAAATAAATAAATAAAAATTAAATAAAATGAATAAATAAATAATAAAAACATTGATGTATTGAAATAATATTCCTACATATTTATTCATTTGATTCCCATTCACTTTAACTATTTCCATTTTTAACGAGCTCCTACATTAAAATTGAATAAGACCACTCCTATTTCCTTTCACATTTTATTTTTTAACTTATTTAACGGAGTATCTCAAATAATAATTTTACACCCGCATATTTTAAGCTTTCCATTTTTGGCTAATAATTCCATTTAAAATTTAAAATTGATCGCCAATTCGAACTGCGGATAGTTATCGCATCGCCATTTGGCAGCATTATAGACTATGGCAATTTTCTAGGTTCATTTCAAGCAAACCCCAAATATTTTTCTTTAAGCTTCGAATTTATTATTCTCTGTATAATATATTTTCATATACAGTTCACTGTTTTTGCCTTTGCTAAAAAAATAAAACAGAAGGCCAATATGTTATATTTTGTTTCGAAATAAAGAAGATATTTCTCAATTATATTCTGGTTATTGCGTCACTGGTTATGGCTTCTTAACCTTTGCATGAACTAAATACGAAATATAACCTAATAAGAAAAACATGATGAAATAAATAAGAATTTTATGAAGGGGCGAAGAAAAAAAAAAGATTAGTGTTCTAGTTAGATAGATAGGGAAAACTTCGGTAAAAAATAGAAATTGCATAAAAAAGATCTTTTTTGATTTATATTTATTTATTTCATACCTTGTAAATGCCAATGGGGGGCAAGAATTTTGTTATTTAGTGCACCTTTTCGAACTACATGATAGTGTACAATATGTGAACACTTAAAGAAATTAGGAAATAAGAAGAAAAAAAAAACGGTGTGATCTACAGACGGAAGGGGATAATGCACTTATTTCTTTGCACAGCAATTTTTGGAATGCCGATAAAGTAACTTTCGAATCGTGATTTACGCAATGACAAACCATTGGATACCAGAAGAGTCAATCTTAACGTGACATATTGAAGCCAGTGAGAATCAAAGTCGATTTTTTACAAAGAGAAAAAGGCCGAAATAAATAAGAATTTGGGGGAGGGGTGAGGAAAAAAGGAAGAAAATATAAGGGGTCTAGATAGATGAGGATCTAGGTGGCGTCATTGAGAATCTGGTCCATGGAATCCCAAAGATAGTAACTTGAGAGCAAATAGCAAATGTATTGATTAAACATTGGCGAAGGCGGTAGACAATATGGAAAGCTCTGGAGCCAACGGTACTGTCGCCAAAGAGGCTCGCGCTGAATGATGCTGAAAGTATAAAATACAAGCCCAAGAAAAAGATACAAGGCAGCATTTCAGAGCAGGCAATCAATTTCGGATTCTTACTTATTTGTTGATTCTTAGGTTTAACTTATCGGTAAAGGGAGAAATCGACAGTTTATAAGCATTGTTGAAATTTAAAGATCTATATTTCATTGCTAGGTTCATTGATATTGTGGCATTTTTGATAAATCACTGATGATTATTTTAGTACTATTCAAATTTTAAACCTCAAGTTTACTTTTAAAGTGATAAAAGTGATTTATTGAATATTTATGAATTTAAAAATCCCATGATTCATCATTTACATTTAGCGTTTTGTAGTTAATGCAGGCACAATTAGATGACTTTTCTAAAAGTTGATTTTAAACTTTCTACATGTTTGTTTTTTAATGAATAATAATTTTGCATATCACCATTTATCTTTATTAAATGTAAAGCGCAAATAGAAGTACTTTTTACTTACGTCACACGAAAACTGCGCAATGGGCTATTTTATTTTATTACCGTCGTTGAAAAGCTGACCCAACTTTGAGTTTTCGACTGCTAATGCTCAACTCCGTAGCCTTGAAGTTTTGAACCCATTCCAGAAGACGAGGGAACTACTGGACCAGGTATTGGGAGAAATTTGTCTTCGTGGAGGACTTTTTGATGGAACTAACCCGCATTTATGTTATCTGAAAAGAAAAATCAGGAAAACCTCCCATGGTTATCCTGACAGCAAGGGGACTCGAACCCATGATCCGTCTACCTCTAAGAATATTTTACGTCAGCACTGTGATCAGTGCAAGCCGGGTGCTGAATTCGTATCAACCAGCCATCGCCGGGATTCGAATCCGGTCACCACATTAGAAGGAGAACGCTTGATCCCCTGAGCCACCATGCCCCCACAATGGGTGTCGGTCTGGCAAACATCCTTGAGAATGATCCGAAGACATGCCATCACAAATTTGATCCTCTGTAATGTCTATGTCTCCCCGCTTTGGTAGCCAGACGAGCTGCGTGCAAAGTCGAGTACTTAACAGAACAGTTTAACCAGAACCTATGCCAGACAGCCTTAGTTTCTTCGCAGTTGTTGAAAGTGGTCATCCACACGCTCACTATCCATTGCTAATAATGTTTATTTTCAGTGATTTACTGGGAACCGTGCCTTATGATCAGTCCACTGTTTGACTTAAAGTGCAGATTAAATTAGGTGTTTATGTTGTTAAATTTATCAACTATGACATTTTATCTTACGTTCCTACAAAAGTAATAAATGCTTCCAGCAGATTAATCAGATTAGTAAAAAGCAGATTAATTATTCCCTTTTTATGAAAAAATCATGAACAACTTTCGCATTTTATTGAAAAAATTCTGATTGATTTTATTTTCAGCACTTAGCTTAAAGCAAAAGCAAAACTTGAATAATAATAATAATAATAATAATAATTATATAATAATAATAATAATAATAATAATGGCAATAATAATGATAATAATATAATAATAATGTGATTATAATAATATAATAATAATAATATAATAATAATAATAATGTGATAATAATAATAGAATTCCCCAACTTCTTCTNATGATAATAATATAATAATAATAATAATATAATAATAATAATGTAATAATAATAATAATAACAATATAATAATAATAAAAAAAAACTGTAATCTTCGTTTCACCAAAGGCACTGTTTAATAACTTATAGTTAAACTAGTAATTGTTTAATAGCAAGACAAGCATTAAGGGATGCCAAAAGTGTGTTTTCAATCACAGAAAAGTCATAATTAATTAGTCAATACAGGATTAAACATTTGTGCTAAGCTCAGTTAATAAGATGGATTTTTTTCTAAGAAAATTAAACCTTATAAAACTTTGAAGTATTTAATAATTTGCCTATCAATGTTTAAACAACATTAAGGGGATATTAATTTTAATTAAAAAGAAAAACGATTTTACAAAAACTAAGCTCCTATCGCTTGAAATTTCCGACTATTTATTTCACCTTACAAAATTTTTTTTGATTTATTTTTCTTTTTATACAAAAAAGTACTTTTAAACTGTGCCAGACATAGCTGGTTATGATGAATATGTAAAGAACTGAATTATTCTTTTGCACTAGAAGAAAATAATGCTGGACACTATTTTGGACCTTTGCCCAAAAAACAGCGCATAAATTCCAAGTTATTGGCACGTACATAAAGTAAAAGTATGTTACGCCAAAGTAATTTGTTCCTGGATATATTTTAATCTTAACAGCAACCAGTGTGAATAAGCTTTTGTGCAGAACATTTGACTTGTTAGATTTCGATAAATCTTGTTCCTGTTTTTTCCTATCAGCGCTATCAAGTTTATCTCCTCTTCTTACAGTTTTTAATATCATTTTATGACTCTTAACGTTTGCAATTCAAGAAAAAGATTAATAAAAGAGTATTTTTTATTTGTTCACTTGAAGAAAATATATAAGGAATATTCAAGATAAACTAGCAAGTTTTAATTCCGATCTTTTGTAAACTGATGTTGGATTATTTTATTACAGATGTGAGTGTTAATGAACACAGAGTAAGAAATAGTAATTGTAAAGGAAAAATACATGCAAATATCTTTAAATATTTAAATATCTTTTAATATATCTTTATATCTTTATAAAGGAAAATTACATTCGCAATATTCAAAATAAATTTTAACAAATACTTAACTATGTATAAATAAATTTACTAATCATAAATATGCCTTTAAATTTGAAAAAAAAACTATAACCGTGTTTAAAGTATCATTTTTAAACATTTGTAATTTAAACAAAAACATGTTTATTAATAAAAATAAATTGATACCGTTTTTATTATACAATGAAGATTTTAATATTTAATTTCTATGCTTCAAAGTACGAATATTAAGACTCAACATTGCACTGCTTTTCTGAAAGTAAAATAACTTTCATTGGAACTTTCTTGGGGCAGAAAATTCGAATTTAAAAATTTATTCAAAAAAAGTCAAGTGAATTGCTGAAATTGTAGAGCATGAAGTAAAAAACAACGTGAATAAAATATAAATGATAGTACAAAAACTGACATATTATAGTTTCAGTTCTAAGAACAAGAAACACGTGATCTTCGCGTCAAACCTCCACGTGAAAAAAGCACCTGTAAGCATTTTACACGTGTTTGTCTTCTTTACTACTTTACACGTGACTGTCTCCTTTCCTTCATTTGACGCTTAGACATTGAGGATGGTTCATGTTTCTAAACTATAGTATGTCAATTTTTTGCTCTTTTATTTGAGTTTTATTCACGTTGTTTTTTGCGTTAGTCATTAGCACAAAGCATTACTCTTTCCTTTGTTGGATTGTAAGCATATCTGCAACATTTTTACATTTTTCAATTTAAAAAGTGTTTAACAAAAAGCGTTGTTTAATCGACAAAAAACTTTTAAAATTTTCGTGTTTTGTATTATTCTCACAAAAATAGGGCAGTTCTTATTCCAATGAAAGGGTCAAAAGACTTTATGACATCGATAACAAAAATATGCCCTTTTTGGGCCGATAATACTCAACGTAATTGCCATGTAAACATAAAAATTAAAACACTGTTTTATTATAAACGTTTATCATTTTGTAAAAACTTAGCGGTGAAAAAATAAGACAATTACAAATTTTTTGAGCAATTTCTTATAAAATGTGTAATAATTTTATGAGTTCAAATGAGTAAAACGTCCTACAAAATTTTTTATTATTCTTTTCTTCTTTAAACTTAAAAAAACGCTTTGAGGGTAATGCTATTTATTTTTTCATTAAGCGTATAGTCTTTTTTGCCATGTTACCATAGAAAATTCCATTGATGAAGATAAAATAGCCCCAGACGCAAAGCAAAAACTCGGCAAATGCTCCATAAAATAAATTCTATCCCCATCGAATTCTTTTTGATTGGATAAAAAAAAGGCTTATGCAAAAGCTCTTAGAAGTACTTTCTCATCCAATCATTCGCAAAGTATCCACAAGCTGGTTCAGGGTCAGGCAAAAAGTAAAACGAAAAAAAATTCGACTAGTCTTTTTAATCGCGATCTTGAAAAAAGAGCAAAGAAATGGTGTATTTTGTTTGTTGTTTTTTTGGCCGTTGACGAAGAGTGGGTGATATTCAGTCACATGATTTTCTTGTTAAACTATTGAAGGATATCTTAAGTTAAAGATAAAAGTGATTAATGGCAAAAAATGACAGATATCTTATGATTTTTATAGTATGAATTTTATTGAAGTGGGTTTAATGTGACGAGTTTACATATTCTCTCCACATCAAATACATATCTATATATACATACATGCATATATATATATATATACACATGTGCATATATATAAATGTGTGTATATGTATGTGTATATGTATATATATATGTAGATACTTGATACCTTTTAAAAATACAAACTTCACTTATATATTAAAATTAAAAATTACTTTTGGAATTGAAAACTTTCTCTCATTTGTAATAGTCGGTTGTTGTTTATATTGCTAGTTAATAAAATTGCGCTTCATATTAAATTGACTGCATATTTTTGTTAAATTATAAAATAATCAATCAGATATGGCGTAATCAGAGCCTGGGAAAAGATAAATACGCCCAAATCACTAAAGCTTACTTAAAAAAAACCTATGTTTCGGCGTTTGCTTTATCTTTAAATAGAAAACTACTTCTGAATTAAGTTTTAATTGTAATAAGTGAGTGTTAAATTTAAAAGAAAGTGTTAAAGAAACTTAAATAATTCATTCTATACATATTATTTGTAATTAAAGAAATATGAACTCATAGAAGTGTTTTTAAGTTATATGTTTTGCATTTTATTAGCATTCTATTTTAAAAATAGCTGTAAGAAGTTTTAAATAAATTGAGAAATTTCTTGCCATAACTTATTATTTATTGTCTTTATAGTACTCAGGTTTTAAAATACCATCTTTTTTTTAAGTTTGTAGGCATTTTTGTAACAATTCAGAAAATATCAAATTATGTTATTATTTTCGCACGCAATGATGAAATCTACTTGAAACAATTCGAAGCCTTCTAAACTACAGCAATTGTATTCGCATTACCGAAGGGTTGGTAAACTCGGAGATTTTAAGTTCAGCCCGATAGCATTTCTATCGTTTTATGAGCCTAAGGGTTTGATTTTTTTTTAAAAAAATAAAGTTTAAAAAATACTCTACCACTCTGAATGCCCCTTAAAAAATAAATAAAAATAATGTAAGAGGGTTGGGAAAAAATCTCGCATTCCGCCCTGAACTTTTCCCCATACATAAAAACATAGAATTTTCAAACAGACAACTTAACCAACACATAGATGGACTTTTTGAACCTCTCCCGGAGGGAAAGGTAGGGAAAAGTAAACTCAATTTTCATACAAAAAATCCCTTCAAAAATAAAAATTGGAAAGAGGGAAGGGAGTGGTTTTGAAATGGCCGGCGCCGTTTGTAGATATTCCCTTTGGCGGGAAAGCCTAAAGTAAGGCAAACCGAAAGAAAAAGCAGGACCGATCAAGAGATGGAGGATGGGGAGGATGAACGAAGAAGCCCAAGAGCGGAATAAGAGCGAAAGTCAGGTGACCTACAGAAACATCGACTTTGACCTGGCAGTGGCGACTGACGGACCGGGTGCCATCGAGTCAGAGAACCATTTTTAATTCGAGGCGGTCTTAAAGGGGACGAGAGTAGGGGGGGGGGAAGACTTTTCTTCAAATTGATTTCTTCTTAGGATTCTTCTCAAGGAGGGGGTGAGGACGGTAATTTTTACCTTATTTATTTTTCACTTCCCGAAAACTTCGGTGTTGGCATACGGGTTGGCGAAAAAAAAAGAAATAAATGTGGCGCCTTACTTTTCTTTAGAAAGATATGTTGAGTTACATACGAGGAATGACTTAGCAACAGAGGGATAAAATATATATTGTTCTAAAAACTTTGTTTTAAATCTTATTAAGACTACTTTTCCTTAAAGTAAAAAATAGATTTAATAATTAAAATTTACTTATTTCATTATTAACAAAATTTGAAGTCGTTTAATTTCTTATTTAAAATAAAAAGGGAATCAACTTGTTCTAATGCCTCAATACAATAAATTTAACTCGCTAGTTTTAGTGATAATTGCTAGAGGGTCTAAAGATTATATTCTTTTAAAAGCTTAATTTCATATCTTGTTCTAAATAGTTTTTACAAAAAGTAAAAAGTAGGCCCAATAGTTTAAATTTACGTATTTCATTATTAACAGAAATTTAAGGTGATACAGTTCTTATTTGAAAGCAAAATGGAATTAACTTGTTCTAATAATTCAATAACATAAATTTGACATGCTAGTTTCAATGATAGCTGAGAAGATGTTGCAGCTCAATATATATAAATGTATGGTCGTTGCGTAAAGCAGCACATCCACTTATTGGATAACCGTCATTTAACCATTTGACCTTTAACGGGAAGGATGAGACTCACTCACGTTTTAAAATTTATTATTATGATAAAAGCTGTCTTTTGTAGTTTAATGTAGTGTTTCCTATTTGAGAAACTAGACGAGCTGTAACTCTTGTTTATGTTGCTCATTTACATTATTTATTTACATTATTTCTTTACGGCATTTATTTTTAGTTAAATAATATTATTATACTAACCATTAATTAAAACAAGCAATAAGTGTTTCGCATTTTTGACTTTTTTATCATTTGTTATGAAAGGTTTTTGCTAGAAATTTAAAATCCAATGTTTAAGTGTGAAAATCAAGTACCATGAAGCTTTTTGCAAAACCTAGTAGACAAGAAGTTTCAAAAACATTTAATTACAAAAGACAATTATATTTTTGGTAATAGCATTGAAACAAAACTATTTTTGAAATAACTTTATGTAATTCATTTATTATTTTGTTTTATAATTGGTATAGAAAAAAATATTATCCATTGCTTAGAAAACTAAGTAACTTTTGGGTCAATCATCAAAACAAAATTGTTTACGTAGAGAATATTCTGAGTAAAACAAACCTATATTTGTGTTGCATGGAGAACCATGGCAACTTTCTAAAAATTTTTCTTAAAATTGCGAATTTTTCTCGAGAAATGAAAGTTTACAAATGCTGCTATTTTAAAATTTTATAACTCAGAAACTAGTCGATCGGTTTCATTCAAGTTACGTATTTTGTCATTGAAAATTACACTGTTTAAAATGATGTAAAAAGTATATGCCTTACAATTAAAATTTTTGGGATCCTTATAAAATAATATAATTATTAAAAATTATCTTTTACATGGAATTAACTTTGGGTAAACTAATTTTATATTTGAGTGTAAAATCTTTTTGAATAGCTTAAAAATTTTCCAAGGTACTGGGAAATACTTAGAAAAAAAATTAACATTAGGAAGGCCAAATTCTCGAATACTTTTCCGATTTTGATGGTCAAAAATACACATTCGTCGAAAAAAAGGCATGTTTATTCAAAGAAAATACGTTTTTTTGTCTGATTCTGTAACTTAATTAACAGTTTCTATCAATTAATTTGCATATTTAAAATGATTCTTATAAATCATCAAGATTGGAGCTTAGTTTGTGAAAATCTCATCATCAGAACAAAAGTTATTAAGGGTGGTATCTTTCTATTTCTTTACTTACTGTAACAATAAATACGTTATTGTTTTTGTTTACAGAATTCACTTCCCTTTTACATTAACAAAGAAGGAAAACATAATAAAATATTACTTTCACGTCGATATTTAAAAATAAACAATAAAAAAACACGAATTTTTAAAGTACTATTGTAGCATTGTATAGCCTCTATCGACCTTACCCTGGCAGTAGAATAAATAAAGAAATATGCTAATATCTAATTGATTAAAATACAAATTGATGAAATAAAAATTTTATAGTCTAAATCTCAAGAAAGTCCAATAAATTGCATCAACAAATAAATTTCAAAAACATTACACGAACTGCAAAGTTTTGAAGAAAACAAGCTTTTACTATTTTCTAAAGAAAAATTAAAGAAATTGAAACATTTCTACGGCTTTGAAAGTTTATGAAATGATTTAGATCACTGAAAAAGGGAAATTAATGGCATTGAATCGATAGGTACTACAACTAGTTTATATTATTTTATGTGTAATATTTATATAGTAATTTTAGTTTTATCTTGCTTTATTAATTTAAACTATTACGCACGTATTACAATTTTAAATTATTAGTTATTTAAGTACTTAAATTGCAAATAATTCGAAGTTTAATAGCGAGTGAAACATTTTATTCTCCATTTGAATTGCTGAAGTTGAAACATTAAATTTTAGTTAAAACACTTGATTTGTTAAATAAGTGTTTATCTGTTAAATGTTTCAATATAGTTTACCTAATAGATAATAATTTGAAAATATTTCGCTTCTTAAGCATGATTATATTTTTACAAACGTGTCATTCTTAATTTTCATTTGAAATCATACATTTATAAATATTTCTTAATCGTAAGGTGCTTTGAAGTTTCTATGTAATTATATATAATCAGAAAAGTAAACTTGTTACTATTTTAACTTCTAGAATTAAAGACAAACATGTTTTTCTTTTAAATTTTTACAACTAAATAAATTTATAAGGAATTTTTCATTTCGAGTTAACTTGTAACCAATCGAAATAAAACTTTAAATGTTTATTTTCGTATTATGAAAAAAATTTTTATTACTTGAAATGATTTTAGGTGCTTCTAACTTGACAAATATTTGTTTAAACTTTTACCTTTCTTCTATTTTTATGTTTAAATAATTAACAATGCTTCTTTTCCGTTTGATTTGATGCGCGATGTAATTTAAAAAAAAGTTTCTTAAAAGAAGAAAATTAGATACACGGAGTTACTCCCATCTAATTTTGCACCCATCGTATGCAGGTATTTAATTAAAAAATTTCGTTTAAAGTAAATTAAAATTTACTTTATTTTAATTGGATTTAGTTTTGGATGCTGTACTTCTTCCTTTTTTGTATGTTTACGGATTATTTTTCTCCAAATTGTTTTTGATACCCATAGTTTTCGCGTATACTTAGAATAACTCTAAACAAGAAGAAATGTCCCATGCTAATATTAAGCTATACTCATAATTTAGTTTATTCTTTCAAAAGATGTAAATTTCTTATTGCGTTAAATGGCTTTTTTTAAATCACTTATCAACAGTGAATTACGAAATTACAGTAGTATTCTGTCACGTCACAACAGCGGTAACTGTACATATAGGCTTCTAGATGTATTAAATGATTAAAAACTTCATTAATTTACTGATTTCAAAAATATACAAATTGGAAAAAAAAATTCAACATGTTTCAAGTGTTTAAAAATAGTCTCCCATTTTTAAGATTGCCAGGCGTGAATGCGAAGAGCAAAAGTTATTGCCCTGGTTTGCCTCTTTCGGCCACTGCGGTATTTTTCGTTCTGTTTTTCCTATTTTTTTCTCTCTCGGCTACTGTGGTTTTTCTAGTTTTGTTTCTCACCTTTATTTTTCCGTTTTTCGCTGGCAACTTTACGTTTTATATTTCAAATAACTTTCGTTTCTTTTCATTCACGTTTGGCATATCTTGAAAATGAGTGCCTATTTTTGAGTGCTTGAAACATGTCGACTGTTTTCAATTTATACATTTTTGAAGCGAATGAAGTTTTTTATCAACTAATATATCCCAGCTTCTGTTTCTGGGATCATTTATTTAATGCTTCTAGATAGTTACTTGCATTAATGAATTTGTTCATAAATTTTAGGAGCCCATGTTCTTCAAGCAGCTTTGCAAATGGTTGTCGTATGCTTATTTGTCTTTGACATGAACTATATTCAAATAATGCTAAGGTGAATGAGATTCGTGCTGTATATGAGTAAAGCTGAACAACGTGAATAAAGCACAAATGATAGCACTTAATCAGACTCACTATAGTTTTTGTTTATGAAGAAGATCCATCCTTAGTGTTAAAACACATAATGACAGAAGAAACCGCGAGATAAGCAAGTTGCAAAAGGAAACAAGTGGTGTAAGCAACTGGGAAAAAGAATATGCTTGAACAAGATTATTAAAGAAAGAAAGGGAGGTAAAAAACAGGAGTGTGGAGGGAGGAATAGGGAAATATCTCAAAGTGTGCAAAGACTTAGAGATTAAACAAAACCAGATTTTTAAAAAAGAAGGGGATTTTAACTCATTTTTCTTATGTTTTCTTCTTTCACTCTGTGTTTCGAAAATGATGAAGGTCAATGTTTATAGAACCAATACTATCATATGTCTGTTTTTGTGTGATTTAAGAACAACGTTGTTTTGAAATTAATCAAAAGTGATGTACTAAACTGACGCAAAATTTTTTATGTGACTGAATCATACAATAGTGAACCAAATTATGAATATTGTGATTATGTTTAGTATAGCAATTGCGTTTAAAAGGCTTCAGTGTCGTTTTATAAGTTTTGAGGGTATGGTAAAAATTCAGAAATTGTTAAGATTTCCAAGGGATAGATTTTTCCACTTCTCTCTCATTAAGCCTTTTGAATAAATAATATTTAAGTGTAAGGGTTTTAAGGTTTTTTCTTTAATCTTTTGTTCCCTAACTACAATCTTAATATTAGTATACTTTTGTATGCAAAATGTAGCTAATATTTGCTGAAATCAACGTTAAAAACTTATTATACTTATTATAATAATAGTGACAATTGTATGATTTTTAATTTGAAGTTTGATTACGTTACTTACTTTACTATATAGAAAATACCAAAAATAGTAATAAAAATAATATTTAATGCGCAAATTATCACGCAAATGTAAATAAAATCTGTACAGGGAAAATATATTTTAACTATATCTATAATTTGCTACGCTTAATTATATCTAGTTTTTTGATTCAAAGAATGGAAATCTCTGACTATAGCTTGTAACTATTTCAAGATTCGTCCATACTATGGAATTGATTTGATGAATAAAGGGCTATTATCTAAGCAATTGGAAATTGAAGCTATAGTAAGACGGAGTAATATTAAGGAAATGTACTAGGGATTCAATATCTGCCTTACTATACTAGACCACAGGTAACAATTACGAATGCGTGAGCTGTCAAACACTAATACAAGTCACTTAATACGGTGACTTAAATTACTCAAACTAACACGCGCTTCCATCCAAATGGACGTTTATCAGTATGCTATTCAATACTTGGGTATTTCAAAGCATTCAGTAAATTAACGAAATGTTTCAGTTGTTTGAACCGATTAAAAACTGTTTATTTAAAGAATTAAAACAATATCTAAAATTCAAAAAACTTCTTAGGTGAATAATACTAATTAATGTAACTTCTATAGAACTATTCAACTTCTGCATTAAGTTTCGGGGAGAAAATTGCTTTGATTAATGTTAATAGAGGGTCCTGTCAGCTTGTTCCTCACCCTCTATGACGTCACGGTCTGTCCTCAAATTTATTTTATCTGATTTTAGAGTTCCGTAGTGGACTGATCGTTATGATATGGTTACCAGAAGATCACCGAAGTCAAGCATCACTGGCTGCGGCTAGTGTGCGTGTGGGTGACCTCTTTGATCAGTCTGCGAAAGGATCGAGGTTGTGCGGTATGGGTCTTCGTTAAACTGTTGCTGGATGACTACCAAGGCGGGGTAGCCATCCCCTCTGCAGAAGATCAGGATAGGCATGGCATGTCACCGGTTTAGCTATGTGTCATTATCATGTTATACAGGTTCTCTAGTTCAAATCCTGGCTGTGACTTAGTAGACCTTCATTCATTTTTTTTCTATTTTTTATAACGTAAAATTTTACTTTAAATATTGAATTTACAGTAAAAATTACTGACATCTTGACTTTTGGTATTTTTTTTACCGTAAATGTTCACAAATTTATACAGTGTTTGTTTAATTACATAAATTCATAGTTTTCAAGATTCCATGGCAATGATGTTGTTAAAGCCTGAGATTATTTAACAAGAAAAAAATTTATTCAAAAAAAAAAAAATTTAACAGTCCTTTTCGATAATAAAATCTGTAAAACTAACATGATATAAAAAAGAAAATGTTTAATTTTATTTATGCTGTTCATTTGTTTTGCAATGTTTTTTGAGTCGAGCTACTATTGCTGCCCATGAGCGATATATTTTCGAAAGTAAAAATAAGGGAAATAGTTTGGAACTGCGCGCCACCTTTAAGTAGAAAAATAAAAAATTTATTGTAATTCAAAGTTGCATACCATTAAAAAGGTTCAAAAAGATAAAAAAACTCTTTTCAAATATGTAAAATGCACGGTAAGTCAAAATAAATGCCAATATTTTACAGGTGCAGCATGCTTCGAATAGGCACCAACAGATGGTACTAGATGGTACATCATGGTCCCCAGATCTCACAATATGAGATTTTCTCCTGTGGGGGGGTTCGCAGAAAATGGCGTGTATCACCCTATTTAAAGCCAGTATCATAGCTGCTATTACCAGCATTGATATAAACATAACATGTTGCTCCAAGTTTGACGACAATTACATTCATACTTGATGTATACTGTATAACAAAAGGAGTACATATCAAACATTTGTGAGGAGAGCATTCAAAATTTGTTTACATTTCCTCAGCAGGTATATGCATTTTTAATAAATACATTTATTCCAGTTTGAGCAGAAATGGAACCTATGAAATTAGGGCATTCATTTTGAGTTACCGAATGTTTACATTTCCTCAGCATGTATATACATTTTTAATAAATACATTTATTCCAGTTTGAGCAAAAATGGAACCTATGAAATTAGGGCATTCATTTTGACTTACCGAATGTTTGCATTTCCTCAGCATGTATATACATTTTTAATAAATACATTTATTCCAGTTTGAGCAAAAATGGAACCTATGAAATTAGGGCATTCATTTTGACTTACCGAATATTTCTGAGGCATGATATAAGTTTTGCTTAGAAAGGGAAGATAAAATGTGGGAGCAGCAAGGAAATTTGAGTAATAAATTGATTGGTAATGGACAGAAAATGCCCCGATTTTCGCGGCGAATCACATTCTGTTAACACTATTAGCGTCAAACAGCTTTGGGAAACGGGAGGATAAAAAAATAATAAACAAAAAGTCTCTCTCATTGGACTAATGAAATTCCGATCAACATTTATGTCAACGTGGTGAAAGTCCGCTAAGCTCCACCGCTCCCTTGAGCATTTACTCTTATGCTTATACTACTAGCTCGATAAGAATTTGAGGCAAAAAATAAGGAAAAAGCTAGAGCGTAGAATATATCTATAAAAAATCTATCAATACACAGCTGTTCCTACATTGAGAGTTTGGAAATCATTGAGCGGCAAGTTTAGAACTGAAGCGAGAAAAAAAAATTAATAAGTTTCCACTTTTTCCGAAAAACTACATCGGGAGCTTTCTTCCACAAACTTTTCAAAAAGAATTCCCCTTGAGGAAGTAATGAATAAATGCCAGTGCCGCTCTTTGACTACAAATAATTAATGACTTTTCTGAAAATAAAAGTGGAAAAAATGTTTAAAATTGTTTGATTGTTTGACAGAATTAGAAAACAATTCAAATAAAAGCTTTAAATTACAGCTGGTTCTAACATTCGGAGGACAGTTTCTTTTTTATTTTTTGTCCTAAAATTATATGATATGCTTTAGTTCAGAGAAGAAAGTAATTTAGTGTTAGGTTTACTGGCAATAAAAAATATAAACTAGTATGTTCATTGTTTCAAAAGATTGCTCGTAAATCTTTTGAAAACATATTAAAAATGTTTTTCATTGGAACGGATGCCAATCAAATCGCTTTTCGGTGTTTGGGTAGCTTATTTCTTGGAGTACAAGAAAAAAACTTGGAATGTTTCCTTTCTTTATGAAAACATTTCTGCTTTATTTCTTTCCTTATAAAATTATTAAATAATGCTAAGAAGTATTTGTAATTGAAAATTACATACTAGTACTTTAATTAAAGCATAGTACGAATAATAATAGTTATGCTTTTAATGCGATTTTTTAATATTAAATGCACATTTAGAAGGGAAAAAATGAAATTTCGACCAATTCATATAACTTATAGAGTATTTCATTTACCCGTACGATGGCCATTGATTTCTTTTTTGAGTTTATCTCAATTTTTTAAAATATTTTATTAACAATTAAGCAATAAAACTTAAGGAAATATCTTTTTTTATCTTAACATTTAAATTTCAGGGGTGGGAAGCATATTTTCCAAGAAACCTGTATCACAGTTCTAGATAATATTAAATTTAATTGTGATTATTTGCCAAGAAAAAATGAGAAGCATGTCGCAATGCTCAAGGTGACATCACATTTTGCACACACCATATTCTACACAAATCCATTCCTAACCCAATCAAAATTCAATGTGAATGGGATGGTATTGGGTGCAAATACTTCAATTCTATTTAATCTATTAAACAACAGATGGCAGCACAAAACTGAAGCGGAAATTATTGCTCCCATCGTTATAATAGCAAGGCAAATATAATATACTTTGCTTTGTTCTTTTCATATGTAATAAATACAACTATGAAAAGCCAGATTTTTTAAGATCATGTAGATGGGGGATGATTTTACCAAGATTCACGAAAGGGTTACAAAAATTTAAATCATGATCAACATTTTATCTAATCTCTCACTTTTCTGCAGTTAAATTATCAACTCTGTTATTTATTTATCACTGGAGTAGTTTTGAATTACTACAGAGTATTCACTAGGATAAAAGTTTAAATTTAAAATCATTCTAATTTCGGTTTGAATATAAGATTCTCATAATTCATATTTTTTAAATACTATTGATTTTAAATTTAACCAGCAATACTTAATTTGTATGCACTGAAAATTTATTGAATGTTCAACATTTTTAATTAACGACTTTCAATAGAGTTTTAGTTAGTTTGAAAGATTGAGTTTTAGTTAGTTTGAAAAGATTGCCATTTATGCTTAACTATAATTTGCAGTTATTTTGTAACTAAGTTTTACTATTGATTTTATGTTCATACACGTACAAATACTTCCTACATAATTTCAATTCATCTTTCACAGGTAAAATTACATAAAGTTCTTTTCTATTAATACGCTAGTTATTTTCAACGAAAATAATTCGGTTTGTTCTCTTTGGTTCAAAACAGAATCTTTTCAAAAGTTATCGTTGCAAATCCACTTATCGCGCTAGAAATTGATTTTATATGAATTCGATAACTCATATAAATTTTTAGCGATATTTCAGGAATTAAAAGACTATTTTTAATAAGAATCAGTTAAAGCTCACCAAAATTCTCTTGTATTAGGGCTATTATATATATATATA